ATAGATAGATAGATAGATAGATAGATAGATAGATAGATAGATAGATAATAGAGATGGAAAGATAAATGCATAGATATAAATGTACTACTTACAGAAGCATGACCAGCTTGAACACCTGTGCTACTGAAAAGATCTACCTGAGCATAGGTGATGACTCTCAAAAGCTGCACGGTTAGTGCTCAACTCCAGCTGACCGTCACACCCCACAAAACATGTGCTTGGGACAGAGTCACACACATGTGACATGGTGGGCATCATGAGCCAATGAGTGGTTAGAGTCTGAGGTGAGGCTAAGATAACACCTAATTCTCTCTGGGACTGCCAGCAGGCCTGACAGTTCTTCCTGAATAACTTGTAAACCTTTCCCGTGCCCCTGCTCCAGGAGACAGCATTATTTCTCTGACCTACTGAACACCCTAGATGCCGTCGTCATTGGTGTGACTCTGCTCATTGCCATCACTTACATATTTTATGACAAGAAGTTTCTTAGAGATATCCCAAGGTAGGAAACACACTGCTTACCTCTCAAAACTCCTCTCTTGTTCTTCTGGGCTGTTTGCTTCCTTTGTTCTGTTGCATTTCCCTGATTTTATTTAATATTTTAAACTTTTAATTCCCTGGTTATATACCAGGTAAGTGGTTTAAAAGTGAAATGTTCATATAAATTTCCACATACTTTGAAACTAAAAGGTGTTAGGGGCCAACTAAAGGTAGATATACTAAGAATCTTTAGCTGAATAAAGAGAGCATGCAAAGAAATAAATAAATAAACAAATAAATTCTCATTTGTGCTTTGCCCTCAAATACCTTATACATAAAGTTCTATGGTCCTGGGAAGTCCCTGTAACCAAGAGAATATTAAGCATATATATAATTTGAAGACTCCAATTTAGATCTCTGAAGAGCAGTAAATGTAGCAAGAAACCAGGAGGAAGCATGACCAGCAGCAGTAAAGAGGAGTTGTAGTAGAAATGAGAAAACTCTGGCAAAATCAAAACTGTCAGAATCTATTAGCTCTCTCTTCTTCATCTTTCTCTTTTTCTCCCTCTCTTTCTGGCCTCCTTTTTACTGTGGCAAAATAGAAAAAAAAAAGTGTGTATTGAAATGAAGGTTGTGAGGTAGGCTTATCATTTGTCAAATAACTGGTTTCTTTCTGTACCCTAAGTTCCCGGGACTTCAATCCAGGGTTCAGCCAAATGTGTCATTGTGTGTTGTAAACCAGTCTCTCAAGTTCCTCCTTAGAGGCACTGGGAACTTAGTGGCTCCGGGCCTATTGCTCCGTGCTTTATTTTTATGATTTTTAAAAAAGATTTATTTATTTTTATTTTACGTGTGCGGGCGCTTTGCCTGCATGTATGTCTGTGCAGCACATGTGCGCCGTGCCTTAGAGACTAGAAGAGGTCTCCTGAAGCTGGAACTGCAGATGGCTGTGAGCTGCCATGTGGGTGCTGGGAACCAGACCCAGGCCTCTGCACGAGAAACAGTGCTCTTCACTGCGGAACCACGCCTTACGCCCACACCCCATGCTTGAAAGAGCTTTGAACAGCTTTTCCAGCTGGCTTGTTCACGTGGCCTCAAAAGAGTGTTTCAGAACAGTAGTCCTCTATCTTGGTGTGCTTGCTGGAAGGACAAACGCCGACCAGCGTACTTGGTTAGCATTTCAGTCTGTTTTCTGATGTGTCTTTACCAAAAGTAGTGATTTTCTGTTTACTGATATAAACGACACAGGCAATGTTTTGATGAACACACACACACACACTCACAAAGGAAAGAAAAGAAAAGAGAAAGAGAAACACTGATGTTAAACTACGTATTCTGAACCTGTCTTTCCCAACCTTAGCATTATCGACATTTTAGGTCAGAGAATTCTAGGAGAGGATGCCATTCATAGCAAGATGTTTATCAACATTCTCTCCTTGTATCCACTTGGCATACTGGCAACACACCAACATAATGGTATGACAATGAAAAGTGTCTCTAGACATTGCCCATTCCCTTCTACATGGAGATAAAAACATCATCTGCCCAGATGAATACAAAACTAGAAGCTGTGCACACAGAACAACCTGTCCAGCCTGCACAGAGCCTTGGACTTGATCAATAGCACCACAAAAAAAACCTCATTAACTATAAAATTGTCAGATTCAATCCATGTAAACCAAATATTCTGGGTTTTTTTTTTTTTGTAGCAAAAATGGGTATTCAAACTTTTATCTCTAATTTATTTAGATTAGCAGTTTTATTTCGGCCTCTACGACTGCTCATTCTGGTAAGAATTTTGCAACTGGCTCATCAAAAAAGACACCTTGAAAAGCTGACAAGGCGGCTGGTGAGTGGCCGTTTGCTTTGGTTTTATGTTCCGGGAAATACTTGCAAAGTCTGGAGAGATGTACACCGTGTCCTTTTTCCTATTGGTTTATTTCCTGCTCTATGATTTTCCAATTCAGGTCTCAGGAAACAAACGACGATACAAGAAGGATGGCTTTGACCTAGATCTCACTTACGTTACCGGTTGGTGAAGCTTCTCTGTTGTTGTTTGTAAAAACCGTGCGTTTTGCTTGAGAGTGTAGATGCTACATTCTGTCTCATTTCTGCCATTATTTCAAGGCATTCCTTATCGGCTAACACATACGTCGCGGTGGTAGTCTGATGGTGACACTAGAATTGTCTGCTCCCGTCATTTCAAACTAGAGCTGAAGCACAGGAGGTGGGGTGGTCAGTTTTCGGCTGAAACAGTTCTGCTTGGATTTTCATTTATTCAGTTCTGGTGGTTGGTTTTGGTCCCAAGGATCCCAAGAGTCCTTTGAATCTTCTTACAACTCCAGAAACTGAAGTCTCTATTCTGTGATCTCCGATTTCCTGAGCCAGGTGGGCCAGAAAGCACTTTGGCAGTTCTGTCTTTAGTGGAGACAAGGCTAATTTCTTTGGTTTGCTAAAGAAAAGAAATTTTACTCCCACTGAGGGAGCTGCAGACTTAAGCCGACAAAAATCTGTGAATCACCTGAGTCTTAGGGTCACTGTGTCAGATTAATCGTTATTACTGTATTAGATAATTTAATGCTTTGTATCATTTTGACTATTCAGAGAATGTGTTATTTCTCCTTTCTTGCATGTTATCTTTTTAAGAGTTTCACGGCATGTAGATGAAATTTTGTACATTTTGTCATCTCTGTTATAATGTGCATCATAATAGCAATTATTTTGACTTCCAGAGCGTATCATTGCTATGTCGTTCCCATCGTCTGGAAAGCAGTCTTTCTATAGAAATCCAATTCAGGTAAGGCTATCCCCATGGCAAGCGCTCCTTGCTCCAGTGAGTGTATGCTGGAGTTGCACACTTGTTGTTGACCATGCCAGTATACTTGTAAATACTGTTCTTCTGGCCCAAACTCACAATGGATGGTCATCAATTTGCTTTTTCTATTTATAAACTACTTTAATATTTCACTGGCTTATAGCCACTCTCTTTTAAGCGTGTCGTTCTGTGACTTACTGATTTCTGTTGAGCTTAGCTAAGTGGGTCTAGTGAGCCAGGACAGGACCGGCTGTCTCAGCTGGGCACTCTTGTGTGTCTGTGTGTAATTGCCGACAGTCCTCAGGAGCTTGGCTCAGTGGCTCCATCTGACATCTGTTCTCAACATCCCCCAACTAATTCCCCTCCCAACTTCATGTCCTCTTCCTTTCTGTGTTTTAATAACCCATTGCATCCAACAAGTGCTGCTTACGTGTCCATGGTGTGTGGTCATTCACTACAGCATGTGTGACTATCAGAAGCCACAAAGGGGAAAACAACCGTCTCTAACAGTCACCAGCCACCAACAGCTCCTCAGTGGAGCTGCCTGGCTGACTGGCTTGATTCTGTGCAGACAGCCCCAGCTAGTGTGAACTCCTGAGTGCAACCACGAAGACAAACGTTTCGCAGCGCCCTCCTCATCCTCCAACTCTTCCTTTCTGACCTCCCTTCTATAACCTTCGCTGAGCGGTGCGTGAGTGGGGAGGGTGGAGGCGGAGGGTTACACAGATGTCCCATGCAGGGCTGAGAGTTTACAGTCACCTGTTTTCAGCACTTCGACCAGTGATGAAAGTTCCAACACTAACAAAGAAGCATTTTGCGATAGCTTCTGGGATAGGAAAAGTCAGCGTTCTTCAAGGGATACATCAACCACACCGCCCTCCTGCTCCGAGAAGCAGCCAAAACAAGTCAGACTCCGTGTGTTCTAGTAGCTTTTTCCGTTGTTTTTAATTTTTTTTTTAAAGAGACAGATAAAACGTGAAGTTGGGGGGTAGGGAAGAGGGGAGGATCTGGAAGGAGTTGGGGATGAAAAAGAATGCAATACAACATATACTGTATGAAATGATGAAAGGATAAACTAAAATGTCGTGAGGCGCCTCGTGACTCCATTCATATTTATACCTTTTTGCACACTTATTAGAGTAAAATGTCTACTAACTTGAATCCATCTTAAATGTGTATCCTGATGAAACTGTGTATACCTTATTAAGGCAGTAAGCATTTCTGACCTCCTTTTGGTCAGTACCCTAACATACCAGATGTAATCATTTTTCATTCTGTCACCAGTCTTTCAATTTCACATAAGTGTAATCATATTGTACACCCTTTGTGACTGGATTTTTATCCTCAAAATAAATTATTAAGATTCACCCAGTATTGTTATGTATTGTTATTGTTGTGTGAAAAACTACCATTGTAGTTCTTTATAAAAAAATAACATCATTGGTTCTGACTATATAGAAAATACAACTGCTTATAAAAGGACTCATACAATTATACAACACTTCATGAAGTCGATGAATACACTGTTCTCTATAAATATCCATAGTATATTAATGTCAAAATTATAAATACGAACAAGTATCCCCATTTAAGACACACAAACCGGACACCCAGATTTGTCTTTTTACAAACTCTTAGTCATTTTTTGTTGATATCGCAATATTAACTACTTATCTAAAGATGGAAAAAAAATCTCCAAAGATTCACACAAAAAAGAACCATTCACACAACAAATAAAATACAATTCCTGTCAATAGAAGTAGGAAAAAAAAAATCTTTCTCTGAATGTTTTCTGAGGAGACGTTTGGTGAAATGCTCCTGAATGGGACGTTCTCATTTAGATCGTAGATAAGCTCCTGTCTGAGGTTTTCAACATTCCTTGTGAATGTCCTAGCCGTGTTAGCATGTCTGCTGCCCTCGGTCGGCTCATGCTTGGGCTCTCACGCTGTTGAGACTTTCTGTGTGTGCCTTCTAACATTAGGAGACGCTGTCTCCCAGCAAGCCCTCTGATGCTTTGGCTCTCACGGTCCTCCCACCCCTTTTCTGCTATGATCTCTGACGCTTCAGTCCAGGGGTTGCTATAGACTGTCGGGTGGGATTGTGCCCTACGATTCCGCGTCTTGACTCATTGGAGCTTTCTGCAGTGGTCTCCGTCTGCTGCAGAGAGAAGTTTCCTTGATGAGAGGTGAGAGCTGCCCTTGTCTCTGGGCACGGGGATGAACACTTAGCGTGTACTCAGGGATTAGGCTGGTTTAGTAAAGTGGCTGTTGTCAGTTCTCCTCCAAAATCCATGACTTCCTTTGCCCTGACGCCTTGGCAAGGTTTCCAGTATCAAGCCTGGCTTTCATCTCGTTGGGAGGATCTTAAGTCTAGTTAGAGAGCTGTTGGTTCCCATCAAGGCTATGGGTGCCGCTATTGCCCTGTAAGGTTATTGTGCCATGTCATGTCGGTCACTGTTGTGGCTCAGATGTATCATAGCTGGAAGGACTATTGGTTGATTTTTCTCCTTTGGAAGCCTGCGTGGCCTCCAAAGGTACCAGAATATACCAGGAAAATCATCAGGGCAGAGGTTTTCAGGTTGCTATATCATATGAGTTTAAGTATGTGAACTTGAAAATAATGACTTTAGCTCAATCAATATGCTTTGTGTTCATCTACATGCAACAGATACAAAAATACCAATGAAGCATGTTCAGTCATATTTAATTCACCTCCCAAAACTGCCACAATTAAGCTTAGTGGGTAGCATGTTCTTTGATAGGTGATATTGTTTTCAGTAGATTAAGCTGGTAGCTCTGAGTTAATTATAGTTTGCTTAAATTGAGCTACTTTTCTTTTTATAAACTTGGTCTCAGTTTATCCATATTTAATACTAGCTAGATTGTTATTAAAAACAAAACAAAAAGACCAAAAAACCCTAGTAAACCTTCATTTTGTTGAAAATCAAAACGGAAGTATCACTTAAGTGATCTCTAGACTATTGGTTTCCATCAGTTATTAAACTGTTATCTTCTTGGGGTCTGATTGACGATTATTGATTCCTTTGCTGTTTTTTTAAAGGTTTATTTATTATGTACACAATGTTCTGTCTGCATGTATACCTCCTCGTCAGAAGAGGGCACCAGATCTCATTATAGCTGGTTGTGTGCCACCTTGTGGTTGCTGGGAATTGAACTCAGAACCTCTGGAAGAGCAGACAGTGCTCTCAACCTTTGAGCTATCGCTCCAGCCACAACTTTCCTGTTTTAATCGAAATGTCCAAAGACAGTCGGTTTTCATAAAATGCTTAAGGCATACTACCAAAAAGGCTTATCTGTTGGTTGAATGAATAGTTTCATTCTTAATGCTGGCTCAAATCTAAGCTATTAGTTGAGCTACAGGTGAGCTTCAGATTAAGCCACAGAGAGCTTCAGTGGTCTTATGTTCAGTAGTAACAGCTTGCTCGTCTTGAATAGGATGTCATTTTAAGTGTCGGCTGTCTAGTGAATGAAAAAGGTTGTTATGTATGGACACATAACTCCTTCCAGGATACCAAAACAGCCCTGAGGTTTTTCTTAATCCTTACAAAGAAAGGATGTTAAGGCCATGGTGGCACATTGAGGGGATCCATGCAGGTATCCAGGCAGGGAATTGAACCGCATGAAGAGATGAGAATGGAAACCCAGTGCAGACTGACTTTGTCAACCTGGATCAGACTTCTGGGAGTCTAATGTCAGGCAGTTCATTGTTCCATATTTAAAACACAGTGCAATTTGGGAAGAGGTTTCCAAGCAGCAGCCCAATTCCAGGTACAGAATAAAACTTAAGGAATGACTACAAAAAAAAACCTCCTTTACAAAGTACATGACCGTGAGGGTGGGTTCTATAGCCAAGAGGCCTAGACTCTAGTGTGGTCTCTGACTCATAGCAAAGAGGTCAGCAGGCCATAAAGCACATGTGACATCTCCCCTAAGGATAGGTAATTGTCTAAAGAGGGAAGAATCTGGGATAACCATTCTGGGGAATTTGGGTGAGGTCTGCCTCTATAGCAAAAGGTGGGTGAGGTCGGCCTCCACAGACAGCAAAATGTCTCCAGGTCGTTAACAAAATCCACTCCCAGCTTTCAGGATGGAATGCAGGTGTTTTATTTTTATCTCCTCCATTGAGGAGACACCCCTGTGTGATTAACATTCCTGGTTCTCTTGGTGCTTCGCTGTGAGTACAAGGATCCCCCCAAACAGTACATGCCTTTAGTCCCAGAGGCAGGCAAGATCTCTGAGCGTGAGGCTAGCCTGGTCTACAAAGTGAGTTCCAGGACAGCCAGGGCCACACAAAGGAAAGGAGAAGGAAGGAAGGGAGGAGGAGGAGTGATGGGAGAGGGGTGAAAGGAAAAGGAGATAGAGAGGGAGGGAAAGAAATAAGGAAGGAAAGAAAGAAAGGGAGGAAGGAAGGAATGTTATATTTACAAGATTATATTTTGACTGACGTCAAGGATGCAGAGGGTGACTTTTCCCTTTAAAATCCTTTATATTGTATTTCTGTAGTGAGTTTCTGTGTGCTCACGTGTGCGCAAGTGTGTGCATAGGTGTGTGGAGGCAGGAGGATAGCAGTGAGTGTTGTTCTTCAGGTGCCGTCCATTTTGCTTTTGAGACAGTATGGAGCTCACCAAGAAGGCTAGCTTGGCCTTCCAGTGAACCTCAGGAATGTGTCTGTCTGCATTTCCCCAGCGCTGGGGTTCGAAGCACTTAACCACATCTGGCCTTTTAATGTAAGTGTGAGCATTAAAGTTAGGTTCTCACGCTTGCATTGCCAGCATTTTACCAACTGAACTACCTCCCCAACCTGAGGGTAAAGTATCTTAAGTCTGAAGTTTACTTACTAAGAAATGCTCAGGGCTGGAGAGATGGCTCAGTCGTTATAGGCTAGGCTCACAACCATAAATATAAGAAATGTTCAGTGCTGCCCTCAAGTAGCCAAAGTGCTCCAGATGTGGTATCCATGGGACCAGCAAATAAACAAATCAGCAGTCTCCGGCAAGTGGAGAGACTGTAACATTTGTTGTTTCTACAGCAAGGAATGTGCCTTAGAGGTGGAGGGAAGGTTTTGGCATAAGTATAAAAACAGAAAGGTGGGGTCGTTACAATAACACTTTCGAAGGGAACTGTTGTTTCTTCTCCTTTGAAGGAAAACTTTCAAGGTTTGTCAGAAGGCACACAAATATTCAACTACTGAGAAAATCTACATGTACTGTGTTCCCTCCTTTGAAAGTCTCTGCTCTTGGAGGAAATACAACACAACACAGCGATTTAGCAGTAAAGCCATTTCAACACAATCAGAGGTCATCTAGGCTGGACTAGTTAGCGCCTGTAAGAGCAGAGCATGTCTGATACAGACAGAACTTCATGGCTCATCACAGCCGTTTTAAAATTTAAACCCTCCCATCTTCCTGTAAGTTAAGGGAACTTTGCATTCTACAGTATGATGACCAAGAAAACAGCAGCAAGACCCCAACATTTAGAATATAGTATTTAACAATGCAAAAATATTCAAAACAATGAAATAGTTTAACATATTTGAAAGCCATTGGAGCATTTCAAAAGCATCATGAAATCCAGTTCCTTGCGTGTGATACAGAGGCGAGTGGGATCTAATATTATGCCTCATTACAATATTTTTAAAATAAAAGTTCTCTGCAGGACCTCTGTGTATCCACACAGGTAAGATAACTCCACACTTGTTTCGTGGAAGCTTTGAAAGAATTAGCCCTTTCAGGTTGAAGTTTTCCTCCTAGCATCTTCTGTAGAGCTGAATGCGTTGGTAGATACAAACTAAATTTGGCTTTGTCATGGAATGTCTAGTGTGACTGAAATTTTTGCTGGGTATAGTAGTCTGAGCAGACATGTATGGTCTCTTAGAGTTTGTAGAACATCCAACCAGGCCCTTCTGGCTTTTTGAGTCTTCACTGAAAAGGGAAGGTGGTGTTCTAATAGGTCTGCCTTTCCGTGTTACTCGATCTTTTCCCTTTGCAGCTTTTAATTTCTTTCCTTGTTCTGTACATTTAGTGTTTTGGGTTTTGTTTGATTGATTGGTTGGTTGGCTTTTCAAGACAGGGGTTCTCTCTGTAGTCCTGGCTGTCCTGAAACTTGCTGTGTAGACCAGGCTGGCCTCAAACTCACAGAGATCCATCTGCCTGTGCCTCCTGAGTGCTGGGATTAAAGGTGTGCACTACCACGTGAGCTTATACAGGGCATTCAGTTCAAATGATAGCAAAGGTTGATATGGGTATCTCAGCCTTCTTTATTAGCAGGTTACATATGATGTACAATCTACACATCCTTACATTTGGGGCATTTTCTCTAGGAGATGCCAATGAGAAGCAGGTGAAGCAAAAGCGACCATTGTTAGTTACTCCTGGAGGAGGATTGTTCCAAGCATGCTTCTGGATGACCCTGGCTATGTAACATTTGTGTCTGTCTTTCTTCAGGAGGTCGTGCGGTTCCTCGACACCAAGCATCCAAACCACTACCAAGTCTACAATCTATGCAGTTACGTACATGGCGCGCTGCTGTGCTACTGTAGATTGCTTGCGGACTCTTCTCTTACGTTTCGTTTATTCATACGTATTAAGTGGTGGAAGGCCAGAGTAAAACTCCCCATCTTGTGTTGCTCTTGTGGGACAGGAAAGTTAGCGCACAAAGAACCCTAGGAGGGAGGCTGAGGTGGGCCTGGAAGGACCAAATGAGCAGAGCAGAGGTGAACTATGTCAGGGGATATCTGATCCAGCAATTCTACGACAATAAACGTATACTTTATTTCCTTCTAGATTATGCTGAAGACATAAAAATTAGCAAGTCTGTTCTCTAACCCCCCTGGAGTAAGTGTTTTGAGTAGAGAGCACTGGATTAGAACAAAACAAAAATGCAATCTTGTAGGAAATAGAAGTGCCTCAGTTTAGGGCCCTGTCTCTCGTGACTTGCTCAGTGCCTGTATGTTAAACGAACATCTCTAGTAGCTTCCATCCCTGTCAGCCACATCTGTCTGTGCTCTGTGGTCTCTAACACCCATGGTGACCCACTGAGACATCACTGGAAAGCTAATGGTGAAGCCTCTTAAAAAAGGAGTTCAGTTTGCGTGAGGGGAATTATCACCAGACTTCCTTTTTCTGCAACTCTGAAAGATTGTTCTTCAGAATAAACAGAAAGCTACTCTTGAAGATAGATAAGGAATTTTTCTAACTGAAAATGTTTACCTGTTTGTGACTTTCTCACTTGCTATGCTCTCGGGCATAGCTATGTGACATGTATTATTTACTTCAGGTGAGAGAGCGTATGACCCGAAACGCTTCCACTACAGGGTCCGCAGAATCATGATTGACGACCACAACGTCCCCACGCTCGAGTAAGTCACGGGTCACATTGCCAGAAAGGGGCCGAATACCGTGGGCTTGGCGCTTGAGAAAATTCGTGCTTTGGAAAGTTTTTCATTGTACGAAAAAAGTCTTGTATTTGAAATCAGGGAAATGCTGCTGTTCTCCAGGGAAGTGAGCGACTGGCTGGCTAAGGACCCTGAAAACGTCGTGGCAGTTCACTGTAAGGGCGGAAAAGGTAAATCCACCCTTTAAAAGAGGTTCCCTCTTTGTAAAGAAATTGAAAAGAAATATTGACCTGTGAGAACAAAAACAATTAGTCAGTATTAAAGATTAACACTTTAAAAGATTGGCTTCAAGACAGGAGGAAGGAAAGGGAAGAGCAGAAGGGGAAAAGAAAAAAGAACAATGAGGGAAGGAAAAAGAGTAAAGGAAGGTTGGGAATATTTTCCCCTGCTTACTAAATATTTGGATTAGTTTACTTTTGACTTGCTAATGCAAGTCTGTTATCTTACATTGTAAGTCTGTTTCTTACATGATGTTTACCTTTGGAATAGGATAACACTTTTTATGTTAAGGGTACTTTTTAATTGACAGATTATATATGCTTATGGCATGAACCATATTTTTGTAGTTACATTTGTTGTGGAGTGGCTGAATCCAACTGATTAACGTATGTATCACTTTATCATGCTTATTTCATTATGGTTAATATGCTTTTCCCTAATGACTGGTGACACTGAGCATTTTCAAAAATAAATTTGTTCGGTTGTTCACTTTACATCTCAATCACAGCTCCCTCCCACTGTCTTCCTCTTTACTCCCTTCTCAGAAAAGGGAGTCTCCCTTAAAAACCCACCCCAGCTCATCATATGGCATCAGGACTTGGTAATTCTCTTCTATTGAGGCCAGGCAAAGCAGCCCAGCTAAGGGAAGTGATCCAATATCAGGCAGCTGAGTCCATGTCAGATATGACCCACACTCCCTTTGTTGCTAGGGGACTCACATGAAAACCAAGCTGCCTGTCAGCTACATGTGTGTCGTGGGCCTGTGTCCAGTCCATGCATGCTCTTTGGTTGGTGCTTGAGTCTCTTTAAGACCTTATGGGCCTAGGTTAGCTGACTCTGTTGGTCTTCTTTAGGGGTTCTTGTCCCCTTCAGGACCTTCTATCCTTCCCCACACTCCTCCACAAGACTTCCCTAGCTCCACCTAACGTTTGGCTGTGGGTCTCAGCATCTGTTTGTTCTGCTGCTGGGTGGACTCTCAGAGGACTGTCATGCTAGGCTTCTGCCTGCAAGCATTAGCAGAGTTTTATTAATAGTGTCAGGGGTTGGCTCTCTCCTATGGGGTGGGTCTCAGGTTGGGCCAGTCATTAGTTGGCTTTTCTCTCTTTCTCTGCTGCATCTTTATCCCTGCACATCCTGTAGGCAAGGTAGATTTTGGGTTGAAGGTTTGTGAGTGGGTTGGTGTCCCCCTCCCTCCACTACAAGTCCCACCTGGCTAGGAGGTAACCTCTTTAGTCTCCATGTCCCCCACCAGCTAGGAGTCTTGGCTAGAGTCACTTCCGTATCCTCGCAGGAGCCTACTCTGTCATAGGTCTCCAGCTTGTCTCAGAGATGTCCTTCCCTGTCCATTTCCTTTCTCTCTCTCTCAGCTCTCTCACTCCCACCCCCGATCTCTACATCTGACCCCAACCCTTGTTTTTCTCCCCACACCCTCTCCCACCCAGTCCCCTCTCTTCATCCACTGTCAAAGTCCATTGTATTTCCCCTTCTGAGTGGGACTCATCCATTTCTAGAGTTTTGATCAACCTCCATTCTGATTTCCATAATGTCTGTACCTGTTTGCATTCCCATCAGCAGTGAATAACTATTTCCCACTTCTTTACATCCACACCACAATTTGATGTCTTCTTCTTCTTCTTCTTCTTCTTCTTCTTCTTCTTCTTCTTCTTC